ATTATATACATTAGATACCCGCTATTCGCCACTTACGCTAAATGTAATAAAATCAGAATAATATTGCGTTTTGGTGTTTACATTGTTATTTTTGGTTACTGATGTTTTAATCATGTTACTTGTCTGGCGGTAATGAAGAGTTAATGTCAAGCCCTGGAGTCTATGTGCCGGGGCTCAGCCCCAGACGTCCCGGCCCAATTTAAACCCTGGTCTTATGTAGCATGATGCTACAGTGTGCATGAATGGTCACATAACACGCGCTTTCGGTCTTGTAGTATGAACGGACATCTTCATATGACTGAAACTCTACACATCTCCCGCGCTACTCTCCATTGGAAATGAATGACTTTCGGTCTGTCATTTGTCGGAGATAGTGGAAAGCCGGCTTGAATCGCAGTGGAAACGTCAGTATGACGAGGATCGTTTTCATTTTAAAACAAAAGCGCACCAGTGTAAATGTAGCCTTACAGCTACGGGGGCTGGGACGCATTCACACTAAATACTCACGTGTGAGCCACATCTCTGAGTGTCACAGTCGCGGACCAACTGTGCAGACCTATCGGTGTATTAGGCTATAGTAAGATACCACGAGCAGACTGCTCCGTACGTTTTCGCATCGCTCTCGCTGATGTCAAACACTGATCGATCTGCGCCTTACTGACGTTGATGAGATTAACCCCTTATGTATCGAAATTTGGTACCGAACGACGAGACGTTTTTCGATACTCGATAGTATCGAGGCAATTCGGTCGGTGCCTAAAAAGTATCGAACTCGATACACAGCCCTACCCAGTATAGTGATATATAAAATCCTCAAAGCTCACAGACACGAAAAAATTTGAGTTCAAGAGGTGATTTCATTGATTTCAGATGTAAAAACTACAATTTCTAAAAATGTAGCTTATTCTGGTAGCCATTAGAAAGAGGGATTCTTCCACAGAGGACAGATGCCCTTGGTGAACAGTATAAAAGTCAGATCCACCCTCTCAAATGCAGCAAAGAGCACAGGAAAGGTCTGATGCCTTTCGGCTACAGCACTTGAACAGTTTCACTCTGTCACATTGCACAGCTAATCTGGTGCCAATTCCCTGAACTCTATCACACCCTGCCACTGCGCTTTCTCCAAGGCCCTCCAGACAGCCGTCCATCAACCTCTTGGCATTCTGGGACAACACAAAGTAGACACGCTGGCTCCTTTCGAGGTGACGGTACTCAGAATTGCCAATAAAAGCAGTGCTGTGGCCATTTGTAATGCAGCGGGGAGTTCAGCAGTGTGTTATATAAGAATCACCTGTCGGTATTAAGCACAGGTAGGTGATATCGGGTTTGCTTCAAGCTATTCTAGATCCAGAATACTCACTACATAAAAACAGCGCAAATACATAAAATTGAACATACTATGTCCCAAAAATTATAAAAATGTCTTTACATTAGATTAAGAAACAAAATATTAAACCAACTGATATTTATTTGAAAGAAAAAAACTAGAAGCACACCTTTTAGGCATCATTTCTTAAAAAGGTATTTTTAGGTTTTTAAATGATAAAACAACAGATGTACTGTTCAAAATAAAGACGAAGCTTATTTTGACATTTAAGCTACAATTAATGTATGAATGTAATTGGATTGGATTAGGCGACTAAATATCAAAGTTTTTTGAGACACACACACACACACACCTATATATACAGTAGATATTGTATGAAAGTCATTGCATTAAACTGGGCGACAAAACTATTATAGCATAATAATATTTATTTGAAAGAAAAATTGCGCAAGCACACTTTTTAAGCAAAATATTTATAAAAGAAGGTTGGATTAAAGTTTTAATGTTTTTGAAGTTATAACAATATAACAAATATTATTGGTGTACATTTTACAATAAAATACCATTTCAGCTTTTCTACTTCAAAATGTCATGTTTAATTCAGTGTTACTTGCGGTCTCTTTTTGAAATGTATTTAGTGAAAATTCTTACAACACTTTTTTCTTTGTGCATTGTTCAAAATAACAATAATAATAATAATAATATAATTTGGTCACTTAAGCAACACTTAAAAACATCATTGCATAGACATACTGTAGATTAGATTTAGTAACAAAATATCAAGCCAAGCGACATTTATTTGAAAGAATGACAAACACACTTAAGAATATATTTTTTTTTAGGTTTTAAATGATAAAAAACCAAACACAAGCTATTTGGACACTTCAACACCTGTGTGAATTTGAGGAGGATGACTTCATACATCCACTTATAATCACTGTGGCTCCAGTTAAAAGTGCATGCTATTAAATAGCAATTTAGAAAGTTAATTCTGAGAAAATCTCAAGCAGCATTTGTTTACAGATGCCACTTAATGAAATTACATTCAGACAGGTTAAGTGTCACTCGAGTGTCCGAATACCTTTTGAGGGTCACTGTATACACACACACTCTGTCACAACCCAAAGGGGCACCTCTGTGTGTGTGTGTGTGTTCTGGTGACAGCTGCTGGATCCGGGGAGCGAGTGTGCTAAGCTGAACGATGAGGTGAGACATGGCTGTATTGCACCTAACGAGCAAACTTTCCAGCATTGGCCAGAGGGCATGGCACAGGCAAACGAACAATGTGTATGCATGCGCATGGCAACCAGGCATTTACACACCATAAACACTCTGTAAACGCAGTACGGTGGACAAGGTCACCAGAGAGGACTAACCTCCTCCATTAACCTCCTCCTCTTCCAAAACGGACAGTACATCTACCGAGCCGAACGGCACACACGATGTCCCGTTGCATTGGGATTATGGTAGTGAGAAGAACTAACAAGCTATCTAATGCACATTCAGAAAGATCTGAGGAACTATGAGATGAAGGAGTTGCTTAAAATAATTGGTTTATGCTTGATTAGTCCTGGTTTAGACGCACAGCTGTAGTGTTCACCAGCAAAACCTCTTCAAAAAGTCGTTTTGATGAAGCTGAATCATGGACATCATTTTATAACAACAACCCTCAAACTTTGGCATCTAGTGTGCATTTTAAAGACTTTTTAGACATTGGCGTGGTTTTGGTCAAGTGGCGGTCATCCAGACTTCGCCAAAAACAGTTTGGCTTTGGCTGGAGGCTCCGTTGAAATCAGATGCCATCATAATGCCCTCTCCATTCCTCATGTCCTCTTCAAGCTCTTAGAGCTTCTCTGACTAGTGAACAGAGCTCCTTATAAGGAAGAGAACTCGGGATGTTTTTATCTCAAAATAGAACTCAAACAATGAGGGAAAAAAGCTCAAATATGCAAGGAAGTTCACAGAGCCCCCTGAGCTTGCTCTTAAACCACAGTTTGAAGATGATTATAGTCTATTAGGACATAGGTATCACCTTCTCAATGGAACCGGTCATTTAGCACATGCTGTCCTGGCCGCAAAATCAAGAGAACATCGCAACACAATATTTGTATTAATCCACCAGTGAGACAGAGCTGCCGGATACAGTTACAGAGTAAATTCAACCAGGGCTGAAAGGTTCAGTAATGGGGAAATGATTTATTTAGTCATTTATTAGAAATGCATGCAAAAGCAAGAAAAACAATATATTAAGCACAAGTACAGTTTGCAAATATTTCTGTTTTGCTTGTTTAGATTCTCACAAGCCTACTTGGCACATGCAGCAGGGAAAAGCTTAGCAAAATGTGTCACCTTAAAATAAATGCACAATTTTTATCATGAGACAATAAATTTAGGCAAGGCCCATAATATACCTGTAAGTAAGAGATGCACATGAAAAAAAAAAGATTAAAAAACGATTTAAAGAATATTTAAAAAACGATTAAAATATGATTTTTAAAGTTAAAAGTGTTTTCTCAGGGGAAAGTTAATTTTATAAATTTTTATCCATGCAAACTTAATGTCCATTCAAATGTAAATAGGATTATAGTAAATAAAATGAATCAATACATTAAATTAGTTTATTAATTTTTTTAATTTAGTTTAGACCTTCATTTGCCCTCAGTGTAAAATCTGACAAACAAAAACAAATATAATAAAAATAAATACAGCAATAATATCAATACTCTATCAACTAATAAATATATACATTT